GCAGGGCTCAGTCCCAGGATCCTGAGTTCATGACCTGAGCCAAAGGCAGACTCTTAACTGACTGAGCCACCCAGGTGCCCCTTTAGATTTTATTTTTAAATAATCTCTATACCCAACCTGAGGCTTGAACCCACAACACCTGTCAAGAGTCGCACATTCCACCAGCTGAGCCAGCCAGGCGCCCCCCAATACATACTATTTTAAGTTTTTACTAGTTAGTGTTATCTTACAAAAATCTAATTTGGGATTTGACTAATTTTTTGCAGATGTTTGATCAAAGTACCAAAGCAAGAAAACAAGGACACAAGTGGGGTTGAAATATAAGGGACATATGAGGAAGTAGCATGAATAGCTGAAGATATATGGGTTATAAAGGAGGAGAACAATTTTAAAAGAGTTGTTAGCCGTTTTAAATACTACAGAGAAGTCTGGGAAGATAATTGAGGAAGACAAGTGAGGGCTTTGAAATATTTCAAGGTGTTTGTGATCTTTGGAAAAGCAGTTTCACAAGGGGGTTGGAGAAACCAGATGGATGTATTTGCCCTTTAAAAAATTTTTTGCACCTAAGGCTGGTTGGTTGGTTGGTTGTTTTTTTATGTTAATAAGCATGTAGCAGGAAAGATGTTTAAGTTCTTTCTTTCTTTCTTTCTTTCTTTCTTTAAGGGGAGGCGTAGTGGGGCAGAGGGAGAGAGAATCTTAAGCAGACTCTATGCTGAGCACAGAGCCTGACACGGGGCTTGATCTTAGGACCTGAGCCGAAACCAAGAGTCAGACAAACTGACTGCACCACCCAGGCACCCCTAAGTCCTTATTTTTAGAGCAGTTTTACATTCACTGCAAAATTGGGAGAAAGATACAGAGATTCCCCATATACCTACCAACTCCCACACATGTTGCCCTCCCCCATTATCCACAGCTCCCATCAGAGTGGTACATTTGTTATAATAGACGAACCTACAGTGATACCTCATTATCACCCAAAGACCTTAGTTTGTGTTAGAGTTCATTCTTGATGTTGTACATTCTAAGGGTTTGGGCAAATGTATAATGGGATGTATCCATCATTATGAACTAATACAAAATCTTTTCACTGGCCTAAAAATCCTCTGTGTTCCATCTTTTTATTCTTCCCTCTCCCCGACTCCTGGCAACCATTGACCTTTTTGTGGTCGTCTTACTTTTGTCTTTTCCAAAATGTCATATAGTTGGAATCATACAGTATATAGTATAATATATACACACACACACACACACACACACAGTATAAAGACTTTGGCTATATTGGCTTCTTTTGCTTCATATGCATTTAAGATTCCTCCATGTCTTTTCATGGCTTGACGGTTGATTTCTTTTTAGCGCTGAATAATATTCCATTGTCTGGATGTTGTTCCAGTTTATCCATCCTCCTCCTGAAGGACATCTTGGTTGCTTCCAAGTGTTGGCAATTTTTGAATAAAGCTGCTATAAACATCTGTGTGCAGGTTTTTGTGTGGAAAGGTGTTTTTCAGGAAAAAATTTAAGAAAATGACTAGAGCATATCTACAGATAGAGATATCAGCAGAAATTAATTACAAAAAAAGAATTAAGTGTAGAAAATGTAGTCTTAGGAAGAACAGGAAATATAATTATGTATTGTATGATCTTTAGAGGAAAGCCTTCCTAAACCTAATTAAAAAAAAAGAAACATGATAATGGAATTAAAGGAATAATTAATGAAATAATAGGATTCTGGAAAAGGGGAAAGATCTTCATGGAAAAGAGGGGAGGCACTTAAGAAATATAGAATAGGAAGTAAGCTAAGAGAAGTTAATTTTTAAAGGGTTTCTCTTGTAAGCTTAGATCCTCTGCAAAAGGATATAGTGGAATTGAGGTTTTGATGAGGTTTAGAAAATGCATTTTTTTAATTGATAGGCATTCATTAAGTAATTCATTAATTTTTTTAAGGCAAATTCCTGAGCAGTGGGACCTAATTTAAAAGTAAAAAATTCTTTTTTTTAAAAGATTTTATTTATTTATTTGTCAGAACAAAGAAGGGGGAGCCACAGGCAGAAGAAGAGGCAGGCTCCCTGCTGAGCAGGGACCCCAATGAGGGGCCCGATCCCAGGATGCTGGGATCATGACCTGAGCCGAAGGCAGATGCTTAACGACTGAGCCACCCAGGTGTCCCTAAAAGTAAAACATTCTGGATTTCTCTCCCTATTTCTCCCTATATAAAAAAAAGTGACATCTGCTGTATCTCTACCATAAAACTGAATCTGAACACTTTAATTCAGCCTGTGTAGCTCTGTCATAGGCATTAGTCAAATAGGTCCTCAATCTGTCTTGGATCAGTACAAACAAGGTCCCTGCTGACACTGAGTTTACATTCTGAGAAACAGGGGGGGGAGGATTGGGAGACAGTAGTGGTGAAGCAGAGTAATAGCTGATGGATTAGCATTGGGGTGGAGGGGATAAGAACGCCTACTTAAAATGAGGTTGTGAAGGAAAAGCATAGAGAGGATACTTGAAACACACAACAGAGGTTTTCTCTACAGACCATATGAAGAGCTAAAAATAAGGTAATAGCAGACAACCCAATAGAAAAATGGGTAGGACTCTTTAACAGGTGATTGACAAAGAAGATATTCATGTGGCCAATAGACATATTAAGAAGGTGTTTCATATCATGAATCCTCAGTAAAATACAAATTAAAACCACAATGAGATCCCATTATACATTCACCAGAATGGCTGAAAATGGAACACACTGATAATACCAAATATTGACAAGGATGTGGAATAAGTAGGATTCCCAAAGCTCTGTTGTGCATATAAATTGGTATATTTTGGAAAACTGGTATCCACTGAAGTTGAACACACATATAACTTATGACCCAACAATTTCACTTCTGGGTTTATATTCAACATGATGCGTGCACATATTCACTACAAGCATGTTCATGGCAGCGTTTTTGATCAAACACTGGAAACATCCCAAAAGTCCTAAGAGGAATGGATAGATTGTCTTATAATTCCAATCATAGAATACTGTACAGCAATGAAGATGAACAAATAAAACATAGTTAAATCTCACAAACATAATACTGATACAAGGCCAGACAGAGTGTAATACATATTAAATACAATATTTATGTAAAGGTCAAAAACAGTCACAATTTAAGGGGGTAGAATTCATCAGTGGTATCTTTGTGAAGGAGGGAGGGTATAGTGATTGGGACACTCCAAAGATAGACTAACTTTAAATAAATACAAAACAGTAAGAACCAGTTTCAGTTGCAACACTAGAATATCTCCTTTGTTCTTAATGACATTAAAAGTTCTGGTTGTTGTTTGTATAACATGAGAATAGTGTAAGGAAGTGCAATAAATTACAAGATTGATAATTACCTCCAAGTTAATTCATTTTAGTGTGGTTCTTTTTTTTTAGTTTTTAAGATTTTTATTTATTTATTTGACAGAGAGACAGCGAGAGAGGGAACACAAGCAGGGGGAGTGGGAGAGGGAGAAGCAGGCTTCCCGCGGAGCAGGGAGCCCGATGCAGAGCTCAATCCCAGGACCCTGGGATCATGACCTAAGCTGAAGGCAGACGCCTAAGGACTGAGCCACCCAGGCGCCCCTTTAGTGTGGTTCTTAATCCTGGCTACACATCACAAGCACCAGGGAAGTTTAAAAAGCAAACAGATTTGTAAGCCTTATCTCCAAAGACTGGGGCCTGGGCTTGGTATTTTTTAAATGATCCACAGTACCTCACACCCATTAGAATGCCTGTTGTTAAACAACAGAAAATAAAAAGTGTTGTGAGGATGTGGTGAAACTGGAACGCTGTAGACTGTTGGTGGGAATGTAAAGTGTTGGAGGTGCTGTGGAAAACAGTACAGGATTCCTGAAAAAAAAAAAAAAAAGATTACCATATGATCCATCAGTTCTCAATGCTGCACTTCTGGGGTGTATCCTTAATAATTGTAGGTAGGGTGTTGAAGAGATATTTATACATCCATGTTTATAGCAGTATTCACAGTAGCCAAGAGGTGGAAGTTAACCAAGTGTCCATTGATGAATGGATGGATACACAAAATATCATATATACATATAATGCAATATTGAACCTTATAAAATGAAGGAAATTCTGACATATGCTACAATATAGATTAATCTTGAGGACATTATGCTGAGATAAACCAGTCACAAAAAGACAAATACTGTATGATCCTACTTATACCCAGAGTAGTGAAATTCATAGAAACGAGATAGAGTGGTGGTTGCTAGGAGCTGGAGAGAGGCAGGAATGAGGAGTTATATAATAGGTATAGAGTTTCAGTTTTGCAAGATGAAAAAGTTCCAGAGATTAGTTGCTCAAAAATGAGTAATATGTACTAAATAGTAGCATTTTAATATGTGTCTTATTTCTAATAATTAGATTTTAAAATAAATCACTTTAGGGGTGCCTGGCTGGCTCAGTCGGTAAAGCATGTGACTCTTAATCTCAGGGTCATGAATTCAAGCCCCACATTGTGGGTGGAGCCTCCTTAAGTAAATAAATAAATCATTTAAATTAGCCAGAAAAGTCCTCTATTTTGATTTTCTTCTTTCATTGAATTAATTTTAGAGTAACTACATACCACGGTTATGTTTAACATTTCCTATTATTTCTTTTTTACCAGAAACTTATAGACTTTAACAACTCAATTTGTATTTTAGAAAAGCAGAGGAAATACTGTGAAAGTTTGAAATACCTTAAATCATCCAAAACTAAGGCATACATAATGAAACAACTCTTAGTACTTATACAGAAAGAGGTTCGTATTTGTTTACAGATGTATTAATCATTTGGCTTTTTTGTTGTCTTAATCATGATGTGATGTAAAATATAATATTACACTTTTTAGTTCCTATAGAAACCATTTTAAATGTGCTTTGAAGATAACTCAGTTTTATTTTTGTATTTTAAGGACATGTACTTATAGGCAACATTATAATATCAGGATTTGACCCCGTTGACAATGTCTCTGTCAAGTCGACAAACAGCTATTGTTAACCCTCCACCACCAGAATATATAAATACTAAGAAGAATGGGCGATTGACAAATCAACTGCAGTATCTACAAAAAGTTGTCCTGAAGGCTTTATGGAAGCATAGTTTTTCCTGGCCTTTTCAGCAGCCTGTGGATGCTGTGAAACTAAAGTTGCCAGTAAGTATATCTCTCAAAGAAATAGACTAGCCTTTAATATTATGAAATACACTTAATTTAATAAAGACCTCTAATTTATTCTGTACCACTGAAGAGTTTTCCCATGAGTATTTTTCCTAAACAACAAAGTTCATTTTTCTGAGCATTGAAATTCTTATTTTAACAGTTTGTTACATTATAGTACATGTTTTTTTGTTATACAATGTGTTACCTGACTTTTTTTTTTTTTTTTTAATGATTTATTTACTTTAGAGAGAGAGAATGTGTGTGTGTGAGTGAGCAGGGGAAGGGGCAGAGGGAGAGAATCTCCAGCAGGCTCTGTCCTGAGCCTGGAGTCTGATGTGGGGTTCCATCCCATGAACCCAAGATCATGACCTGAACCAAAACCAAGAGTCAGATGCCCAACCAACTGAGCCACCCAGGCGCCCTTCACTTGACCTTTTGGTGCAAGGTTGTCATGAATGTCACCTTCTTCATGAAGTTGATCTTGACACTTCTTGGTAGCCATAGATGCATCATATACAGAATTCAACTTTAGGTCTTCTCTTAGGTATTTTCAGCCATCTGACAACATAATGGTTAAGTAATTTGTTGCATAGTTAGCAAACCATGATGCTGGGATTATACTCTGTATCTGTCAGACTCCATAAATTTTAGGTTTTTCTTCTTCATGCCCTTCACTTTTTATTTTCCAGGATAGTTCTACCCTTACATTCTTGTTTTTGTTATTCTTTGTTATTTTTTCTCTGAAAAAAATGCCATGGCAGTCAGCTTTGTTTCTCAGTACAAAAGTTTCAGTTTCCAAATTATGGCTTTTTAAAGGTAATCTAGTTAAAGTATATAGCTTCTTAAATTTCTTTGTGTACCAATAGTTGCAGTGAATTTGTTCTTACTACTAATGTTTAGAATTTCTTCTTAAAAACTGTAGGATTATTATACCATTATAAAGACCCCAATGGATTTAAATACAATTAAGAAGCGCTTAGAACATAAGTATTATGTGAAGGCTTCAGAATGTATAGCAGACTTCAACATAATGTTCTCAAATTGTTATTTATACAACAAGGTATGTAAGTCTTATGTTATACTTGATAATTCTTTGCTTTTATAGAAGATGTGTATAAAAAGTGTGCTGATTTCAGATTTCAAGTCTTGATTTGGGGGGATTTTACATATTTTTAAGGATAATGTTTATTTTTTACTGGATTTCATAATTTTTATGTATCTATTTATTTAATCTATTTGCCATAATTTTGCCTGAATAGCTGTGATGGTTTCTTATGTTTTAAAAAGTGAAATACCAATGATAGTTGGTTTTTGTAAGTATTAATGTTCCCTACCATACTTCTGCCATTTTAATTATAAATGTTAAACTTTATTATATACTGATCTTGGTTAAATGTTCATGGCATGAATTCAGACAAATTACATACATCTAAACTTCATGACCAGTTAACTTAAAGATGAGACACATTCTCTGTTATATTCCAATAGTACTATTTGTATTTTCATTAATGCACTGGCTTGTCTGATAATGTATGTGGACATTTGACCTTAATCTTTACTTTTGCTTTCATCCTATAAAGCTGGATTTGTGTATATTAATTTTTTCTCCATATAGTATTCCTCTTTCCCAGAGTATTGCATTCTTTTTAAGCTGTTCTATATCTAAAAATTTTAAAACTTATATCCCATTTATTCAGAATCACTGGTGATGCTGGTATGTAATAGAAATTTTGGTTCTCGGGCGCCTGGGTGGCTCAGTTGGTTAAGCGACTGCCTTCGGCTCAGGTCATGATCCTGGAGTCCCGGGATCGAGTCCCACATCAGGCTCCCTGCTCAGCAGGGAGTCTGCTTCTCCCTCTGACCCTCCTCCCTCTCATGTTCTCTGTCTCTCATTCTCTCTCTCACAAATAAATAAAATCTTAAAAAAAAAAAAAAGAAATAAAAAAAAAGAAATTTTGGTTCTCAAACTATCAGTGCCATCTTAAATTTAAGACTCTTAGCCAATATGATTTTTTTTTTAATGAGAACTAATGGCATTCTGAAAGTACCATTGGCAACTTCATTTTAATTTAACAATTCCAAGTGTACTTTAACATTTAACATTTTAAAATGAAGTTCAGTAATTTTCCTAACATACCTAACTTCAAAGTAAGTGTTCTCTGCTTTAGCCTTTTGCTTTGTAATCTACTTAGTTTTTTATCAGTAGTGAATAAAGCAAGCCAAAGACTTCTACGCAGATAGTTAAGATTTAAAAACTGGAAGAAAAAAAAAAGGTTTAAAAACTGAGTTAGCTCTGCAGTGTCATTATATCACTTAGTTAATTGAAAACTACATCACATCAAGTCAAATCATGTCCTTCCCACAGCCATGAACATATTTTAACTTATTAGTGAGGTAGAAATTTTAATTTCTAAAACCTTTTTGTATTAGTAGGACTGGTTGGATTGTAACCCTTTAGTACTCAGAAGGGCTACCTGGGTTATTTTTAGAAGTTAAAAGGGTAGAATGTTAGAATTTAAAATATGAGCTGATACACCATTTTCTGTACTTAATTTAGAAGTGATAAATACTGTTTAATATTATCTAAGAGTACTGTGTCACTGCCTTCTCTAAGGTAGCCTGAATTGTTGAAATTTGGTACAGTGACCATATTGCATAACCTTATGTTTATATATTTTCTAGCCTGGAGATGACATTGTTCTTATGGCACAAGCTCTAGAGAAGTTGTTTAGGCAGAGATTATCTCACATGCCGCAAGAAGAACAAATTGTGGGTGGTAAAGAAAGAATAAAGAAAGGTAAGACAGAAAAGGTTTATGTTTTCTTACTTTCTCTATCTTGTGAATTATATATGAATGTGTGTATGTGTGTGTGTATAAATATAATGACTAGAACTAAATAATAAATCCCTCAAAGGAGGTAGACATTCAGAGTCCTTCTATATCCGGGCGCCTGTGTGGCACAGTCAGTTAAGTGTCTGACTTGGTTTTGGGTCAGGTCGTGATCTCAGGGTTGTGGGATCGAGCCCTGCACCAGGCTCTGCATGGAGTCTGCTTGGGAATGTCTCTCCCTCTTCCTCTGCCCCACATACACGTGCTCTCTCTTTGTCTCTCAAAATAAATGAATCTTTTTTTTTTTAAAGTCCTTCTAAATCCTATTGTATTGGTATAAAATGTCCATTTCAACAGTAAGGCAAATTTTGAAAGCAAAGATGGCTATCGTGCAAGATTAGGGAGAATTGTATTGATTATAGCCTTGGAACCTGAGATTTCCTATAGTATAGTGCCATTCACATAGTAGGCACCCAGTAAAGTTATTAGTATTTTTAGTGGATCTTGTATCTGTGCTATAATAATAAGATGGCCAAAATTGGCAATGTTCCTTGTACCAAAAGATCCCATAGGTAAGAATGAAATGTTACTGTTGGGTCTGAAGATTCTCCTTTTTTCTAACTCTTTCTTAATTAAAAAAAAAAAAAAAAAAAAAAAAAACCTTTGAGGGAAACATTTTACAGCTAATAATTAGAATATTTAAATATGAAGTTAAAAAACTATCTTAAGTATTCAGATGGATTTATTGTAGAGGTTAACCAAGGTTGTCATAGATGAAATGTTGGTTTATTTTTGGATCACTGATGTTGTACATTTTAGATAAGCTTAATCATTCCATGTTAGTTTCCTCATGTATAATGTCAGGAAAATATTTCACTTTCGTGGTTGAAATATTTATAAAGCATACAGTTAAGTGGCTGGGGTATAGGAGACTTACACTACTACAAAGGTGGTTTTTATTGTACTATTTTTCCTTGTTGGTAGATCTTTAAGATGGGTCATGACTTAAAGCTTTACTCAATCCTGTGAGGTACACACACTCTTTTTTATTAAAGTTCTTATTTTATTCTCACCTTTGGAAAAGGTTGATCTTAAGCCTGACAATATAAGGCCTAGGGTTCTGAAAGAGGATTAAAATAAGCCCTTACATTAAATGTGTAGATTGCTACATATTTAATGCAATCCCTATCAAAATACCATCAACTTTTTTTCAAAGAAATGGAACAAATTATCCTAAAATTTGTATGGAATCAGAAAAGACCCCGAATAGCCAGAGGAATGTTGAAAAAGAAAAGCAAAGCTGGTGGCATCACAATTCCGGACTTCCAGCTCTATTACAAAGCTATAATCAAGACAGTATGGTACTGGCACAAAAACAGACACATAGATCAATGGAACAGAATAGAGAGCCCAGAAATGGACCCTCAACTCTAGGTCAACTAATCTTCGACAAAGCAGGAAGGAATGCCCAATGGAAAAAAGACAGTCTTTTCAACAAATGGTGTTGGGAAAATTGGACAGCTGCATGAAGAAGAATGAAACTGGACCATTTCCTTACACCACACACAAAAGTAGACTCAAAATGGTTGAAAGACCTAAATGTGAGAAGGAGTCCATCAAAATCCTAAAGGAGAACACAGGCAGCAACTTCTTCGACCTCAGGCGCAGCAACTTCTTCCTAGAAACATCGCCAAAGGCAAGGGGAGCAAGGGCAAAAATGAACTATTGGGACTTCATAAAGATAAAAACAAAACCAAAAGACAACTGACAGAATGGGAAAAGATATTTACAAATGATATATCAGATAAAGGGCTAGTATCCAAAATCTGTAAAGAACTTATCAAACTCAACACCCAAAGAACAAAGAATCCAATCAAGAAATGGGCAGAAGACATGAACAGACATTTCTCCAAAGAAGACATCTAAATGACCAACAGACACATGAAGAAGTGCTTAACATTGCTCGGCATCAGGGAAATACAAATCAAAACCTCAATGAGATACCACCTCACACCAGTCAGAATGGCTAAAATTAACAAGTCAGGAAATGACAGATGTTGGCGAGGATGCAGAGAAAGGGGAACCCTCCTACACTGTTGGTGGGAATGCAAGCTGGTGCAGCCAATCTGGAAACAGTATGGAGGTTCCTCAGAAAGTTGAAAATAGAGCTACCCTATAACCCAGCAATTGCACTACTGGGTATTTACCCCAAAGATACAAATGTAGTGATCCAAAGGGGTACGTGCACCCCAATGTTGATAGCAGCAATGTCCACAATAGCCAAACTATGGAAAGAGCCCAGATGTCCATCGACAGATGAATGGATAAAGAAGATGTGGTGTACACACACACACACACACACACACACACACACACACACACACAGGAATATTATGCAGCCATCAAAAGGAATGAAATCTTGCCATTTGCAACGACGTGGATGGAACTGGAGGGTATTATGCTGAGCGAAATAAGTCAATCAGAGAAAGACATGTATCATATGATCTCTCTGATATGAAGAATTCTTAATCTCAGGAAACAATCTGAGGGTTGCTTTAGTGGTGGGGTTGGGAGTTGGGGTGGCTGGGTGATAGACATTGGGGAGGGTATGTGCTATGGTGAGCTCTGTGAATTGTGCAAGACTGTTGAATCACAGACCTGTACCTCTGAAACAAATAATACATTATATGTTTAAAAAAAGGAAGAAGATAGCAGGAAGGGAAAAATGAAGGGGGGGAATCGGAGGGGGAGACGAACCATGAGAGACTGTGGACTCTGAGAAATAAACGGAGATTTAGAGGGGAGGGGGGTGGGGGGATGAGTTAGCCTGGTGATGGCTATTAAAGAGGGCATGTACTGAATGGAGCACTGGGTGTTATATGCAAACAATGAATCATGGAACACTACATCGAAAGCCAATGATGTAATTATGGTGATTAACATAACATAATAAAATAAAAATTTAAATAAATAAAATAAGCCCTTATAAGGTAGATAATATATAGATCAGTATGCTATTTAAATTGCTAAAGCAAAGTGATAATTATTGCCAACTTAAAATATTATCTCTAGCAAGGTAAAAATGCTTTTTTTAGAATGCTTCCCTTAGAAAAAACACTTTAATAACATTCTTAATGTGTAAGTTTTAGCTGCTTGTTTCAGATGCTCAAATTACTGCTAAGAGCATAAGTTTCCCTCAGACAAAAATTCTTTGACTTTCTCTGTCAATATGTAATTGGATGTTTGTCACTTACAATGTACATATTAAGGGGTTACAAAGATGTATAACCACCCTAACTCTCAAGTTCAATTTATATTTTAGTTAGAAATAAAACTTCAGGGGCTGCTAAGGTGGCTCATTCAGTTGAGCGGCTGACTCTTAATTTGGGCTCAGGTCATGATCTCAAAGTCCTGGGATCAAGCCCCGTGTCAGGCTTTGCGCTCAGTGGGGAGTCTGCTTCAGGTTTCCCTCTCTACTCACCCCCTCCTTGACCCTCGCTTTCTTGCTCTGTCTCTCCCTCTAAAATGAATGGATCTTTAAAAAATAAATAAATAAAACTTTAAAAAACAATAAGACAATGCATTATAATAAATGTCAGATGAAATTACGCATAGTACATGCTATGGTTCAAGAGAATAAGAAGTTGATTCGCACTGGTAAAGCTGGGGAAAGCGTTACTGGTGATAGAACTTGAGTCTGGCCTTGAGGGATTGGTAGGATTTGGCTTTGGAGTAAAGATCTAGGTTTCCAAATAACTTTTTCTAGGAACATTCTGCTGCCAGAGTCATGTCATTTTTATGCACCGTGGTAGGGAAACTGTCATATGACAATAGCTAGTCCAAATAATGGCAAAGAAAAAATTTCAATTTAGTACATTAAATTGAATTGGTGTTGATTTATATGTTTTTTATTTTATTTTTTAGAATTGATGTTGATTTATTGATTGATGAAATACTTGAGTAACTTTTAGGTGCTACAACACAGTTCTAGTTCTTGGGACATATCAATGAATGAAACAAAAACTTTTTTTTTTTTTTTAATTTTATTATGTTAGTCACCATACAATACATCATTGATTTTTGATGTGGTGATCCACGATCCATTGTTTTCGTATAACACCCAGTGCTCCATGCAGTACGTGCCCTCCTTAATACCCATCACTGGGCTAACCAATCCCCCCTCCCCCCTGCCCTCTAAAACCCAGTTTGTTTCTCAGAGTCCATTGTCTCTCATGGTTCATCTCTCCCTCCAATTCCCTCTCCCCATTTTTCCCTTCCTTCTCCTAATGTCCTCCATGTTATTCCTTATGTTCCACAAATAAGTGAAACCATATGATAATTGACTTTCTCTGCTTGACTTATTTCACTTAGCGTAATCTCCTCCAGTCCCATCCATGTTAATGTAAAAGTTGGGTATTCATCTTTTCTGATGGCTGAGTAATATTCCATTGTATATATGGACCACATCTTCTTTATCCATTCGACTGTTGAAGGGCATCTCGGCTCTTTCCACAGTTTGGCTATTGGGGACATTGCTGCTATGAACATTGGGGTGTATATGGCCCTTCTTTTCACTACATCTGTGTCTTTGGGGTAAATACCCAGTAGTGCAATTGCTGGGTCATAGGGTAGCTCTATTTTTAAATTTTTGAGGCACCTCCACACGGTTTTCCAAAGTGGCTGTACCAACTTGCATTCCTACCAATAGTGTAAGAGGGTTCCCCTTTCTCCACAACCTCTCCAACATTTCTTGTTTCTTTCCCTGTCCATTTTTGCCGTTCTAACTGGTGTAAGGTGGTATCTCAATGTGGTTTTGATTTGCATTTCCGTAATGGCTAAGCATGATGAACATTTTTTCATGTGTCTGTTAGCCACTTGCATATCTTCTTCAGAGAAGTGTCTTTTCATATCTTCTGCCCACTTTTTGACTTGATTATTTGTTTTTTGGGCGTTGAGTTTGAGAAGTT